AGCGTATTCCTCGGGGCTATATTATACTCACATTAGTCCCGTTGAAGTGAATGTTATCTCTAATAAAAAATTAGATGATCAGAAAACATTCATTTTGTGGCATGACCGTTTGGGTCATCCTGGCAGTGTAATGATGCACAAAATAATTCAAAATTCACTTGGACATCCATTGAAAAATATAAGGATTCCAAGATCAATTGATTTTCCATGTGTTGCCTGCTCTCTTGGAAAGATGATTGTCAGGTCATCTCTAAATAAAATTGGAGTCGAATCTCTTGCATTTTTAGAAAGAATTTAAGGAGATATTTGTGGGCCAATTGCCCCAGCATGTGGACCATTTCGTTATTTTATGGTGTTGATCGACGCATCAACACGTTGGTCACATGTTAGTCTTTTATCTACAAGAAATTTTCATTTGCAAAACTCCTTGCTCAAATCATACGTTTGAGAGCTCAATTTCCGGATTATTCAATTAAAAAAATCCGACTTGATAATGCAGGAGAATTTACATCCCAATCATTTAATGACTATTGCATGTCTATTGGGATTGATGTGGAGCATCTAGTTGCTCATGTGCACACTCAAAATGGTCTTGCTGAGTCTTTAATAAATCGATTACAATTAATTGCTAGACCATTATTGATGAAATCGAGTTTATGTAACGCCCCGAAATCTGGCCCAAAAGAATTAATTAAATTGTTAGAGCAATTGATTACGAATTGGGCCCAAAAAGGGGTTAAAATTATAATTTGGATTCTAAGCCCAACTTTTATGTCATCTAGTAGGAAATATTTTTGTGATCGCGTCGGTTCAGACGGCTCGCGAATCGGAGTTTTGGAGCTCATGTTATGACCATTTAATCAGGTATTTTGGGTCCGAAGCCCAATCCTTTTAGGAATGGGATCATTAAATAAAACCTAAACCTACCCGTCTCCCGTTCGAATCTGAGAGCCGCGCACACCTTCTTCTTCTTCACCTTCGATCGCCGTCGACTTGCAGCCGCCAGACGCCGTTCTTCACCGGACATCCTCCCTGCCGTTCGACCACGCCGGCATCGCCCGAGCCAGACGCCGCTCATCGCCGGTCGCCCTTCCCCAGACAATCGCCGCCGCTGCTTCCTTCGCCAGAGGTCCGCCGTCAGCATCAGCGCCGCCGACGACGGTTCACCTCGTCGTTCTGCCGGTCGTCGCCTCCACTGCCAGCGTCGGTCGTCCTCGTCATCGAGTTGCAGCGCCGTCAATCGCCGCTGTTTCGCCTTCGCCGGAAGTCCACCGCTCATCACCGTCGAGCGCCGCCGTCGCCCTTAGCTCAGGTCAGTTTCTTCTTCTTCTTCAGTTTCCTATTTCGGTTTGTCTCTATCCCCTCGATTTTGAACAAGGTAGACCGCCAACAGCTGCCGCTCCGCCACTGTCGCCGGCGTCCGTCACCGTCGCCGCATCCAGCCGCTGCCCCGGATTGATATCGCCGGCAGATTAACCTCCACGCCGGATTGATTGGTCGATTTCGCATTTTGACTCAATTTGACCCGTTCGTTTGATTTCGTTGATTTGTCTTCCGTTCGAGCTATCGATTCGATTTCGGCGTAATCCAGGTCCGTACTATGAAGTTAATAGCATTTTGAATAGATTTAAAGGTTTGGATCGTTATATGTGTTTATGCTATAATTTGGCTAAATTGGTTAATTGAATTAAGTTGATTATTTGAATTGAATTGTTGAGGATTGTGAATTGACTGAACAGGTTTGACTTTGACTCGGGTTAGGTCACGTTTGACTTAGGCCTTGACTGGATATTCTGTCGACGTAGGTTTGACCGAATGGTTAAATCCAAGACTTTAATGAATTAGTTAAGTTAATTAATTAATTCTAATCGGTGATTAAGGTCAATTGTTTTATTATGTCGAACATAGAAAATGGCCATTGCTCGGGCGGCTGCAGGGCCTGGTCAGTGAGGTTAAGACGTGCGCACGAGGGTCTGTGATCTTGGGTTTGAGGCTATCGCCCGAGGGATCCTAACTCCACCGAATTGAGGCTATCTTCGGTATTACGGATTGAGGCTATCTCCGTCATAGGCATTAAATGTTAAGTGGTTTGACTTTCGTGAAAGTCTAAATTGGTTTGACCGGTGGTCAAAGAGTTAATGAGGAATCCTTAACACCTAAATCGTTTTGAAAAGAAAGAAAATAAGTTGACTGTTGGTCATCCGTCTAAAGAACCGAATGTAAAGTTGAATTGATTTTTATTAAAAGGATAAACATATGCACGATCTAATCATTGAATTATTATGTTTGTTCTTGTGCTACAATGGAGTGCCACTCAGCGTCAATGCTGAGCGGATAGCGTTGTTTTCCTTTTTTGCTGTCCGGAGGAGGAGATGTACGATGGCGTGGCTATCTCTTTAATCTGTTGATTATGCTTTATTTAATTCACTTTAATGCTTATTACGTTTTCGGGGAAGATCCCAAGTTGTTTGACTTTAAAAAGGCTTCCGCATTATTTTAAATTACTCTGATTGATTTTTATATGTATTGATAGAACGTTTGTTTAAAATTGTTTTGAAAATGTTGTATATTCGGATACCAATCCAGTGGCACACCGGTCCGCTGTCTCACGGGTTTGGGTTATGCGGGTTGGGGTGTTACATTTTGGTATCAGAGCATTTGGTTTTAAAATCGGTCTTTGGACCCTTTCAAAATAAAATACAATGAATAATTCAACCGCATCTGCATCTCACGTAACTCCTCTGCCCCGGGAAGGTAATAAGTATTTATAGCTTTATCTGTTATATGTTAAGATCTGACTTGGGAATTTCCTTATTATTTTAGAATGAGTCAAAAATCGACCCACGGTCAGTACGTTCCGGAGCCGGAGCACGTGAGCGTGCACACGGTGAACACCGAGGGTTCGAGTTTCACGCCTCCGGGTGAGGGAGGGCAACAGCAGAATAAACCTGAGCCAGCGGGACAGCCACCAGCTGTACCACCGCCAGTCGTACCACCTCCAGTGATGCCCCCGTTGGCGATACCGCAGGTGGCCTACGAGCAGATGTTCCCGGCCATGATGGCCCATTATATGCAGCACATGGCGCAGCTTATGCCCATGTTCCAGCCACCGCCACCACCACAGCCGCAGCCGCGCATCGTTACCTTCAAGACATTGAAGGAGGAGCGGAAGAGTTTCAAAGAGACAAGATGGGGGAGCCCCAGATTGCATTGGATTGGCTTAAGCAGATGGACCGGGTACTCAAGAATTTGAGAGTCCCAGATGCTGATCGCTCGGAGTTGGCGTCACAGATGTTCCGGAAGGGAGCATATGATTGGTGGAAGCGCATTGACTAGGATCCACACACGCCCAAGCCTTGGACCTGGGATCGCTTTAATCGAGCCTTCACGAAGGAGTACGTCCCCACCCGGTACCGCGAGGAGAGGTGCGATGAGTTTGTTGCGCTTAAGCACGAGGGGATGTCACTGCCTGCACTGAGACAGAAGTTCGACTACCTGTCCCAGTATGCGACGAGTCTGGTCTCCACTCCGGAGGATCGTTTGAATGAGTTCGTCAAGAAGCTAAGGCCGGACTTGAGGTCATACGCCGCGCTGATCACGACGACAGATTTTAATGCGGCGTATGATTTGATTGTGAAGACGGAAAAGAGCTTGGACGATCTGCAGGCAACCAAGAAGGAGGATCGAGCGACGAAAGACCCGCGACCCGCGGCCAGCACCGGGCCGAGCGGGAAGAGTTTTGGATTCGGGGGAAAGAGGTACGAGAAGGGTTCTTCGAGTGCGCCGCCGCCTAAGAGGAGTAAGTCGAGGCCGTCTCCGTCGGNATCTCATAGCGGCTTAGGTTGTGTACTGATGCAGTTGAGTAAGGTAGTGGCCTACGCATCGAGACAGTTGAAGACTCACGAGGAGAACTACCCGACACATGATTTAGAGTTGGCAGCCGTGGTGTTCGCCTTGAAGATTTGGCGCCACTACATCTTTGGAGAGAGGATTCACATCTTCACCGATCACAAGAGTTTGAGGTACCTACTCACCTAGAAGGAACTGAATCTTAGACAATGTCGATGGTTGGAGCTGATCAAGGATTACGATTTAGTCATTGAGTATCACCCGGGCAAGGCTAACATCGTGGCCGATGCTTTGAGCAGGAAATCATTAGCCGAGCTACAGCTTCAGTCTCCGTTAGAGTAGGAGATCCGTACAACACAGAGAGATGATGAGTTTTGTCAGGAGACTCGAGAGTTAGTTCCTACAGGAAAGAGGCCCGAGTTTGCAATTTGCGATGACGGAGTCTTGTACTATCGTGAACGCCTAGTGGTGCCCCGCGGTGGAGTGAGGGATCGCTTGTTGCGCGAGGCTCACGGAACCGTTTACACTATGCACCGGGGTAGTAACAAGATGTATCAAGATTTGAAGAAATCCTATTGGTGGCTAGCTATGAAAAAGGAAATCTCCGAGTTCACTGCGCGCTGTTTGACTTGTCAGCAAGTCAAGGCTGAGCACCAGGTTCCGACAGGGTTGCTGCACCCTCCTACCATTCCGGAATGGAAGTGGGAAAGGATCACTATGGACTTTGTGATCGGATTGCCTTGATCTTCACGAAAGAATGACGCCATCTGGGTCATTGTTGACAGGTTGACAAAGTCCGCTCATTTTCTACCCGTCAGATGTGACTCTTCCTTGGACAAATTGGCAGACTTATACGTTAGAGAGATAGTTCGGTTGCACGGTGCATCGCTGTCAATCATATCTGATAGAGATCCCCAGTTCACTTCGATGTTCTGGAGAGGACTTCAGAAGGCTTTTGGCACAGCTTTGAACCTTAGTACGACATTTCACCCTCAGACCAATGGCCAGTCCAAGAGGGTGATACAGATTGTCGAGGATATGATGCGAGCTTGTGTGATCGACTTTGGAGAAGATTGGGAGCGTTACTTGCCGTTGATGGAGTTTGCATATAATAACAGTTACCAGGCGAGTATTCAGATGGCTCCGTATGAGTCACTCTACGGCAGAAAGTGCCGAACCCCGATTTGTTGGACAGAGCTTAGCAAGCGTAAGCTCGAGGGACCAGATATTGTGCAGGAAACCGAGGAGAAGGTTCGTGTGATCAGACACCGACTCTGCACTGCTTCGGACAGACAGAAATCTTATGCAGACTTAAAGAGACGAGACATAGAGTAGAATGTTGGTGACATGGTATTCTTGAAGGTTTCACCTTGGAAGAAGGTCCTACGGTTCGGGAAGAAAGGGAAGCTTAGCCCTAGATTCATTGGACCCTACCGCATTCTAGAGCGAATAGGACCTGTTGCTTACAGGTTAGAGTTGCCACCAGAGTTGAACAGGATTCACGACGTCTTTCATGTCTCCATGCTACGTAGATACCATTCAGATCCGACTCATGTGTTGCCGACCAATGCTGTAACCCTCGACAAGAGTTTTTCTTATGAAGAAGAGCCAGTTAAGATCTTGGCGCGCGAAACTAAAGTACTAAGAAATAAGACGGTACCTTTGGTAAAGGTACTATGGCGTAATCATGCGGTGGAAGAAGCAACCTGGGAGACCGAAGAATCTATGCGAACTCAGTACCCTCATCTCTTCGGCGACCAATGACTCAGGTAATTTCGAGGACGAAATTCTTTTTAAGGGGGGGAGAAATGTAACGCCCCGAAATCTGGCCCAAAAGAATTAATTAAATTGTTAGAGCAATTGATTACGAATTGGGCCCAAAAAGGGGTTAAAATTATAATTTGGATTCTAAGCCCAACTTTTATGTCATCTCGTAGGAAATATTTTTGTGATCGCGTCGGTTCAGACGGCTCGCGAATCGGAGTTATGGAGCTCATGTTATGACCATTTAATCAGGTATTTTGGGTCCGAAGCCCAATCCTTTT